ATAAAAACTATCTAAGACAACCACCAGTAAAAGAACAAGCGAAGACAGTAGCTGTAAAGACAAATGCTGTTCAGATGGCCCCTTCTGGCTACTTTCTGAACATCCAGAATGGGGATGTGTTTGGTCTGACATGCCACCAACTGTGACTGTGATACTACGAACCACTCCTGATTCCTTGTATTAGTTTTCCATTGTGTAACAAACTACCACCAACTTGGCAACTTAAAAACAATTTATTATTGCAGTTTCATAGCATGACCAGCTACTCTGCTTAGGATCTCATTGGACTGAAACCAAGGTGTTGGCTGGGGCTGCAGTTCTTGGTCCTCATAGGGTCCTCTTCCAAGCTTTCCTGTTGTTGGTAGAATTCATTTCCTTGTAGTTGCAGAACTGAGGTCTGTCTCCCTTTCAGCTGTCAGCTGGTGGTTCCTTTCAGCAACTCAGCAACTCCACTGCCTGCAGTCCCTAGCTGTAGCCCCCATTTGTAGTTCACAATACGGTTGTTTGCTTTCTTCCAGTCCTGCAATGGACTTCTCATATTGAGTACCAGTACCTACTGATTTTAATCTTTCACTTCTTCTGTCTCTGAATTCTAGACTAAGATTTAATGGGCTCATGTGATTAGCCAATCTGGATAATCTTCCTATTTTAAGGTCTACTGATCAGTGACCTTAATTACATCTGCAAGTCTCCTTCACAGCAGCATCTAGAATTGTGTTTGATTGAGTAACCGGGATAAGGTGTGTGTACACCAGGGGTCTGGAACATCTTAAGAATCCTGCCTACTACATTTCTGGAGCTCCGCAAGTTCAGTCATAGGACTAAACCTTCATTTTTAGTGACATGCTGCATTTAGCACTTGCCCTTTTGTCTATTTCTCTACAGTCCATTTACATTTGAATGACAAGTCATGGAATATCTCAAAAGGCCAAGAGACATGCATTTAGAAGGATGACATATTTTTCCCCATGCTCTTAGGATACTTCAGAATCATACGTGATTATAAATCTTTCACCTCAGACTCTGTACCGCTAACACCTATATGATCATTGGGTCAAGGCAAGGATTTATATCATTAAAAAAAAAGCAGCTTTTCAACTAAAAATTGCTTATTATTCCTGACTTTAAGATTTGAGAAGTGTCAGTTTGATCAATGTAGTCCTGGCAATAAATCAGTTGAGGCCAAACCTGGTTCATGCTTGAACATATGCTTGACCTGAACACGTATTTCATTTAGGAGCAGTATATTTTATGTCGAATCAACTGGCTTCATGAATGAGGCCCCTGATTCAGACACAGCCAGGCTGAGAAAACAGTAGTAAAAAGGAGCAGGGAGCAAATGCTGAGGGTGGAGGTAAAATACAAATCATGGCTGAGATGCTTAACCTCTAGGGCAACAAGCAACAGCTGTCTACAACTGGTCTCAGCCGGGTGACACTAAGTTAACTTTTTAGATTGATTTGCATTTGGAATACTCCAGTGTCAGCATCAACAATTGGCTGGCCTGGGGAATCGATCATCTTGAGGTACCAGTTTATACTTTACTATGTAATGGTTGAGCTAATAGGATCTTGGAAATCATGAAAAATCTCAGTGTTCACATGTATATTTACATTTTGGTCTGTATTCCAAAGAAAATCATAAATGCCATTTAAAATATCTACTTTTGTATTTTTTCTCTTTTCTCATTTGCTAAAGGTAATTAAGAGCCTTTATAAACTCATAACTCCATGCTGGAAAGAGATTCTAAACCCCATAAATTATAATTAAGCTGGTGTTCTTACAGTACTGATTAATAATCCATTGATTCTTGAGCCTGTTTACTCTGCTTACCCCACTTCATCCCAACAAAAGGGAAAATAATAGGGGCACTAAGTGTACTTCCTGCATTGCAGAACTAAGGTGATATCTCTTATCTCTGAAATCGGACTCATGCTTAAAACAAACTAGGATCTCTGACCTAACACTGGCAGAAATCAAACCAACTTTTAGAATACCCTTCAAAGGGGAAAAAAACCTTTCAGATCTTAATTAACCTATTCTTTTTGGTGGGGGTGGGGAGGAGTTATTGGCACTTGATTGCCTATAGACACAGTAGAATAATACTTTGTTCAGACTTAGTTACATGGCCCCAAGTTGGGTAGAACCAAACATACTTTGGGAATACTTCTGATAAGTAGGACAGTTTATTTGGGAAAAGCTCTTATTTGCTTAGATTCATGCTAGTAGAAATTATGAGAAAGATGTTCTATTACAATGTGCAAGTTTGAGTTATTCTATTTATCCAGTAGGTCAAGCCAGGACTAGTAAGGCAGAGTTATATGTTTTTGGTTTAACCAGGAAAATGTTTGGACTACAGCCATCCATTAATAGAATGGCTTGCTTTTAAACAGGGAGTAACTTGTCTTCCTTTTTAGGGTATATATGATCAACTGTTAAAAGTTATCAAGTAGGTATCCTGATTTGGGTTCTCAATGGTTCCATCTAACCAAAACTTATGTATTCATTAATATCACATAACTGAATTGTACATTTCACATAAATACTTGTCCACTTACATTGCAATGTCTTTCCTCTCGATTGCATAGGTGGATAGCACCACTAATACCATGAACTCTGATGCAGACAATGCAACAGTCTACCTGCCCCTTGTGAGACCTGACAGACTTAGGAACTTCTACATACTAGAAAGAATAATAGCCTTAAAGGTATTTGCTCAATATTATCACTCAAAACTTAGACTGGCAGCTGAATTTAAGATTATTTTTCTCCTCTGAAATATACCTATGTATAACTTTAGTAAGAAGCCATGGTTATCAGAAACAAGTAAAAAACTGGTAGAAGCACAGACTTCTCAGAAATGAGCAGTATAATTTTAATTACTTTCCTCAAAAGCATCTCAGTTTAAACACAGAAACATTTATGGTGCTGGTGGGAAAAGAACCTTTTTTTTTTTAATTACAAAAGGAGAATTTCTCTAAAATAATTTGGTACTTAAGTCTTTTATTGTATACTGATTTTTATGGCTATCTAATTGTTTCATAAAGACAGTTCCTGCCTCTTTGGAACCATCCTAGTACTGAAAGACTAAGCTAGAACTAGACAAGAAAAGTCCTAGCTCCATCACTGACTTGCAGAATGACCCTGGGCCAATTATTAGGGCTGTTTAAGGTTTACTTAACCACCAATGAAATAACCACCTTTGAGTAGCAAGTGAAACTCTCCTAAGGTTATGGATTTGACTATGCCTGGGGAAATAAGGGCAGTATACAGATAAAGTTTTATGCACTTCTGTATATTGCATGGTGCTTATTCCAGGATTGATAATGGGTGTTGACCCAATTATGGGAGGAGTAAAAACAACTATTTAAAATTATAGTTTAGTTCATTTTCCAATTTAGTTTGTCATTTCCTACTATACCTTCCTTCCCCACATAAGACACAGAGCCTGTTCTCTTCTCTGAGGGATTTATTGGTCCCTGTAGAGCCTGGAAAGAAAGCCACACTCACTTGGTTGTCAATGGCAACCCATGTTTGTCTTTTCAGTTTTGTAGTATCTGTAGGACTGAGGTCTGTCCGTGTCCATATGTCTGTCCAGAACATCCATAAGCCCCATGTTTGCTGTGTGTTATGGGGACAGAAGACGACAAATTCACTGGTAGTACTTTCAAACAACACGGAAGGCCTTCCCTTTGGGATCTGACAGGATGACTACACCCCAACAAGCGATGCCTAGGAAAAATAAAACAGTACCTTACATGTACGTTGCACTTTAGTTTACCAGGTGCTTTTATATATGTCACCTTATTTAACTGTTATAGTACTCCTAGAAGATATATTACCATTATATCTTTCTTATATAAGTTAAGCTCAGAAAAGGAAAAAAAAAAACTTCAGGGGCAAACGAAACTTGTTACTTCCCCAAGCAAAAAAGGGGCTTAAAGGGAATTGATATGGACAGTCTGGTGTCAAAGATTAAGAAATCACAAAACCTAAACTTCTATGCACTCATTTGGTACGAAGAGTAAAAAGAAATCACTACATTTTACTAGAAGATTTCTTGACAGTCACTTACTATTGTTACAGATAAGGACTGTGGGCCACAGTACACAGTGGTACACCTAATATGTGGGCTTTGAACCCATGTCTAAGATCTAACTTCAAAGCCTTAATTCTTTAACAAAGGTTTAAGTGTCTTGCTCAGGCTTTATTCAGGACCTGGAGAAAAAGCATGGGCTTTGGTGCCAGATAAACATGGGACAAAAGGCCATCTGTCACACACACGTGTCTGACCTTGAAACAATACTTCTCTGTGCCTTAGTTTAACAGTAAAAAAAGAATTATTATAATGATAACATCTCTAATTGCCATTGCTAGGATTAAAAACCTTGAGGCTCATAAGAATTTTCAAAAATATTATGACTTAGAAAAAAAGTGTCTCAACTTCCTCTTCCCGCCTCCGCATCTTTTTTTGGGTGCCTCCCGCCGCTAGACCAGCCAGAGCGCCCCGTCCTCCCCCAACGCGGCTGCGCTCCCCTTCTCCCTCTGCTCCCCAGGGGTGTGCCCCGACTCTCACTGATGCCGATGACCATCTGCGTAATAGTCCCTGGACTCGGGGGGTATCCCAGCTTCAGGGGCTTCCGTGCCACCCAGTACACGTACCCGCCCGCCCCTATCAGCCCCGACCCGGAAAGCACACGACAACTCCAGCAGGTAGTGAAGAAGGGGGCTTGCGCTGGAGAAGTCGGCGCTTGGGGTGCAGAAAGGGGCGCGGGCTTGGCGGAGGTGGTGCCTTCCGGAAGCGCAGCGACTTTGCCTGGTTCAAAAAGCTGGGACACTGAAGAACCCATGTTCCAGGACTTGACCTCCGCCAGAAAAAGCTGATGGCCGAGCCGACGTAAAAGGTGCGGCCGGAAAGCAGAGCCCTGAGCGTGCTGCGCCGGAAGTAGCCTCAGGGCCGCTGGGAAACGTAGTTTCTATCTGCTGCTGAAGGGGAAAAGATGGAGGTGGGCGTTCCGTGGTGCGTTTCTGTGGCAGCAACCTTGGCCTTGCCAGAGACCGGTCCCACTCTCCACACACTCCCACCCTACTTATAAGAATTCTGACATAGCCAACTCCCTAATATCTCAGTGCTCAGTCTTTTTGGAAGAGATGTCTGGGTTTCTAAGTTTCCTGCCTAGAACAAAAGGTGAGACGTTTGGCCGTGTTACTTAACCCGTCTATCCGTGTGTAACTCAAGAGTGAAGTTTTATGTGACTTAACTGTATGCTACACATTTTGCTGAGCGATTGTCTGCATTATGCCATTTACTCTTCCCACCCCAACAGGACTTCAGTTTCCCAATACATGACAAAATTGGTTAGGTGATACAGCCATAGTTAGAGCCGAAGTGTGGTTGAATAGAGCAAATTTCTTTAACGCCACTTGTACATACTGTGAAGGAACCACACACGGTTTTGAAAACAGGTGTTGTAAGTCCGGGGAAAGGAATCCCGGGGCAAAATACCTCTAAAAACCAAAAACCGTCAAAGGGAGAAATAAAATTTAAAACCTGTTTATTGCTTACGAACCGCAGTCCAGCACCCTCCCTCTCCCCTGCTCCGGAAGGATGCAGGCCAGCCAGCCCCTCCCCTTAACCTCTCAGGTTCAGACACGCCCTCCGTTGCCCAGGTAATTACCCATGGACAAGGAGATGAACTTCTCTCCACACCTGAGGATATACAAATACACTAAAGCCAGGCGGGATGTTCTGGAAATGTTACAGTTTTACCCACAGGTGTGAACCACCATCTGAGGTTGTTTCTGTTAGAGGAGATGGGTGGAAAAAGGATTAATGTCAGGTTTGAACTTCTTTACAATGGTTTTAAAATTCCATGTTCTAAAACAGGATGTGATATTCAGAAGTCTAAAAAAATGATAAAAAAAAAAGTAACAGGAGAAAATAAAGTAGTGGAAATACTGAGTTCGCTTGCTGCCTAATTTCAAAGATGGTCCCCATTTAGTTAAATTGGAGGAAGAAGTGAATTTTGGGGGAAGGAAATAGAAGGTTGAAAGCTATTTCATTTTCTGTATTTATTCTACTGCTTATTATCTTTATAGTATAGTATATACTGTATAGTATTCTACTGTATAGTAGAAAGAAAGGTTTGGGAAATTCAGGTTCTATAGCAGTCTGTCACTATGAGCACATTGTGCTAAGGGCTGTACCAAATGAATTCAATATTATTTCACTTAGAAATTCATAACTTATGGCTGCTTCTTACTGTGCTATTCTCTAGTGTGCTGTATATTCTGTAGTGCATATGATTTCTCTTTATTTATGTGAAAAAAAATCATCATTTGGAAGTCATTACCAAACATTTTGATTGCATACTTCTGTGGATAAAAAAGGTTGAACATGCAATAGTTTTATGTATACCTATTTATAATTTATAAATTATATGTTCTGTACTACTTTATACATTATAAAAATAAAATAAAATAACAGAAATAGAAATTACAGTGTTTTCTCACATCCCAGTATATGACCTTGTGCATCTCCATGGATATCATAATTATTTCACATGTGACTTTTTAAATTCATGTCTTGTTGAAAAGTTTACCTTCCTTATTTTTCTTATCACAGTGAAGGATGCCAAGAGGACATCTTTAATTCTCCAAACAAATATTAGCAAATGGCCCATAACACATTTTCCAAACAACAGGTAAGATTTTATTTTAACCACTTTTTTAAAGTATCTTCCAAAACATGTGTCTGTTCTCTTATAATTGCCTCAAATGGAATGAATTCATTCCTTTTTGTTATTGGATATAGCACAGGTTGAATTTGAGATGTACTAATATAACTTTGGAAAATTATTAGAAACATTAAAGGACCTCTTGAGATAAATGGCATAGGGTAGAGGCCAATGAAAGCAAGCAAAATTGTAACTGGAGGAAGATGTGTGCATTTTGGGGGAAGGAAAAAGGAGGTTGAAAATTAACTTTATTTCATTCTCTTTATTGTATATATTTCTTCTATTCCTTATTATCTCTATACTTCATTTTGACACTTATAACTCACAGGCATTATGACCATGCCTATTGATTTCTGAATTTTCAAAATACAAAGGCTATAAAAAGGCATATACTAAAAAGTGTCCTTCACACTTCTGCCCCTCAGCCACCCAATTTTCTTCTCATAACAGCCAGTCTTAGCTTCTTGTGTTCCTTCTCAGAGATGCCTGTTAGGAGTATATTCTTTCCTCCAGTGATTTTGGAGATCATTTCATATCAGTCAACATGTCATCATGCTTTTGTATGACTTTGTTGTACTCCAGGTGTGGATGTACTATATTAGATTTAACTGGCCTTGCACTGATTGGACATTAATAGACCTTTAGGCTGCTGTCTACTCTTTTGCTATTAGAAATAGTACCACAGTAAATAACCCTGTACATACATCATATCACAAATGTGTATTTCTTAGAATATATTTCTAAAAGAGTCTCATATTTACAAACTTAATGGACATTACCAAATTGACCTTCATAAAAGTTGTACCAATATATGCTCTTCCCAACAAGTATGAGAAAACCTAATTCCGCACCCTATTTCCCAAAAGAGTGAATTACTGAACTTTGATGTCTGCCAATCTGATGGTTTGATTTTCTTTTTCCTTTTATGAGTGATCTTCTTAATGTATGTTTAAGGTCAATTCATGTTTCCTTTTCTGTGAACTATTTGTATTTTTGGCCCATTTTTTTCATTGGATTGTCTTTTTCTCATTGACTTCTAGGAACTCCTTGTACTTTTGAGAGATTGACCTTTTGTCTGTTTTGTAAGTTCATTTTTTTGGTACCAATTTGATATTTGCCTTTTGACTCTGCCTGTTGTACTTCTCATCATGTACATTTTTGAAATATGTAATTGAATTAATTAATTTTTCCATTTATTTCTGAGTTTCATGTCATAATTAGAAAAACCTTTTACTTTCTTTGGTTTCCCTGATATTCTGGTCTTTTTTTATAAGAAACTTAGAATTTTAATAAATTTGGACTTATCCTATTATTAGGTGTTAGTAGAGGAATCAGATTTTCTTTTTCTTTTCATTTTCACTAACCCAGTTTTTCCACACTATTAAATAGTCCACTTTTTCCCCATAAATGCCACCACTAAAATGCCATATATAGATGTATGTTTATTTCTAGACCCCATATTTTTTTCATAATTTGTCTGTCTTTTCATGTGCTAGAATCACACTATTTTAGTTACTGAAATTCTATAAAGTGTTAAGAGTTGGAGACTGGTTCCCCCCATGACTCTTCTGTTCCAGACTTTTCTTGGCTATTTTTATGTGTTTATTTTTCCACATGAACTTTTGACTCAGCATGATTGTTGTGACAAAATGATGCTGACATTTTTATTAGACTTCTGTGAAAATTGTGGGTTAATTTAGGGAGAACTGACATCTTTATGATGTTGCATCATCCTATCCAAGGACATGGAATGCTTTTTTTTGTTCATATCTTGCTTTATGTTCCTCTAAGTATTTTAAAGTCTTCTTCATAATGATCTCCCACATTTCCTCCCAGACATTTTATCTTTTGTGTTGTTGAAAATAAGGGATATTTTTTCTTCTGTTACATCTTTTAACTGGTTATTGCTTAAATACAAGAAGGTTATTAATTTCCATATGTCCTAATACTGAATGATCAGGGACTTCTGTTGAACCTTTGAAATGTGGTTGTTTCCCTTTTGTTCAATCCTTTTGTTGATTTTGGGAATTACTTATATGCCCACTTCATAAAAAGAATCTGGAAACATTCCTTCTTTTTCTGTACTCTAAAATATAAAATGACATTGAATTTACCTACTTATTAAAAGGTTTGTTAGAATTTCCCTGTGAAATCATCCATTCCAGGCACTTTATTATTTTGGCAGTGGGATTGGTGCGGGGAGGGAGGTGCTTTGATATACCTTCCTCTGTTTGTATTTTGGAAATATGTTAAACTACCTGCTGAAATCGTTTTGGTAAATTATACAGTTTTTATCCCAATTTTCAAGTTTATCTGCTTTGAATTGAGAAAGACTAATCCCTTAGAATTCCATAAATTTCATTATAATCTGTGTGGAACCTATAAATGCTACCTTTTATATGAAAAAAGGGTCTTTGCAGATGTGACTGAGGATTGTGAAATGGAGTGTTATGCTGGTTTATCTGGGCATGCCTGAAAGCAGTCACAAGTGTCCTTATAAGTAACTTGCAAAGAAAGATAACCCACAGAAGTAAATGCAGTGTGACCGTAGAAGCAGAGATTGCATGCAGTAATGCGGCCACAAGTTAAGAAATGCAGGCAACCACCAGAAACTGAAGGACAAGGAACAAATTCTTCCTTAGAGCCTTCAGAGGGAGCACAACCCTGCCAACACCTTGTTTTAGGTCATAGATAACTGATTGCTTAGTCTGGCCTGCACAACTGGAGAGGTTAAATTTCTGTTGTTTTAAGCCACCAAATTTGTTAACGTCGCTTTAGGAAACTAATCCATGTGCTGAATTAAACCCTTGTCCCAGACCGTACTCTGAAGAATCTCTAGGCTACGGCAGCAGTATGTAACACTTGTGCTGGCACTTTCTTTTCTTAGGGATTTTGTGTTATTCTGCCATTCTCTGCCATTGAATGTTGCTGTGGAGAATTCTGAGGCTTGGTGAATTTATTCTTTGATGTGAATGATTAGATAGACCTATTTGCTAGATGCCAAATGATTTCCTTTTCTTTTTCCTTAACTCTCTCCCTCCCTTCCTTCCTACTTGAAATTGTTGAGGTCCACTAACATCTTTATTAGGATATATATCTTTGTTGACTATCTAGTTCAGTTTTCTAGGCATAAACACACACACGATATATAAAATACTGTATTTTAGAGACAAATATGTATGTTCTCTTATCTTTATTTCATGAATATTTATCTGAATTATACATTTTTTGAAACAATTATTTTATTGCTTTCTTATAACCAAATACAGCCAACTAGCATGATTTCTACTCATTTATCACTAAAGACAAAAGGTTAATTCATTACATATTTTCAAATAATGCTCTATACAACAACAAAAAAGTTATAAACTTGATTAATTATGTAAGCTGGAAATTAAGAAAAGAACAAAACAAATCATTTGCTTCTTATGTAAAATAAATGTAAAGAGTTTGTTCGTCTTAATGTTATCTTTATGTTAAAGTAGCTTGAAGTGTGGCACGTATAGTTTCATCTAGAAAGCTATGTGCTTTATACACCTCATGTGAATGAATAAATTTACATAACAAAATGAATACAGAGAGCCCTAGGCTTTCATATTAAAACTTGGTGTTGAATTATCTTTTATGACAATATAGATTATTATGCAAAATGTGTTTTTATGCATTTATAACCCTAAGAAAAGAAAAATAATGGTTTCTTGAACTGTTTCCCAGTGGCCATTTGGTTTATAATAGGATAGCTAGAACATCTTAAGAGTTTAGTGTCCACCAAATCTGGAATCCTTGGCTTAAGCAGCGCATCAGATATGTTGCATATTTCCCAGTGATTGTTTCCCAAGCCATGGGTCTGCCTTTTCTCAAGTACCAACGGATTACATACTTCTGAGGAGTATCACTGGCCTGGTGGTTTTCTGTCTGTTGTTGTCATTGTTGTTGTCGTGTGTGAACTATATTATCTCTCTTCCTTTCCTCCTCTCATGTGATCTTCTATTTTACTTAATTATAAGCCCTTTCAGAACATTCTCAATAATAATACGCCTCTAAGAGAATAAATTTTAAAGGCAGAAAATTAGTGAGTTGAAGACTGCGTTTTGGTATATCCTTGGCTTTCCCTATATTTGCTGCAAACTTTTGCCAGACTGATGATACTGAAATTTCATAATGTGATCACAAGTGCCATAGTACTGATTTTTTCTAGAAAATCAGCATCTATGTATGGCTCTTTTTCATTGGACCTTCTGAAGACTGAACTGTTCAGCTTTTCATTATTTTCATTCCTAATTTTTTCATTCTTAGCCTCAAAGAACTCCTCATGACTCTTTATTTTTAAAGATACACAACTTCAGTTATCTGCTCATTTGTAAGTATTTGTTCATTGTTTGGAGCATTGCTTCCAATTATGGCTTACTCTTTTTCTGAATTTAAAAAAGACCCCATAAATTTCTGCAGGTGTGACTCTGGTGGGCCTCCATTTCTAGAAAAGAATAGGACCTGGGCTTTTAACTTCCAGAGCAGAGGGTTAGAGATGCCTGAGATGAGGAGTGACATCCTTGTTTGTATTTTGCTGGGTGTCCATACTTTCACACGCTTTCTTTTCCATTCTCCAAAATGAGCAGTATCTGCTTTGTGTGACAATCCATTTGCAGTTCCAGTGATAAATGGGCTTGTTTAGAACATGTCAGCTCATGGATTCAGAAAGATATCTGTCTGCTTTTTTTCTAACAAAAAATAGCCTCTGCATATTTCCCTGCCGCCAACAATCTGTTCCACTTTTTGATGAGCGTATTTGAGGGAATCTTCATTACTTCCATAGCCCTTGGAAAGGGCAGTGGCCAGAGAGCCATGGGGCTGTAGCATTGCCACATGGAAGAGAATGACAGGGCAGTATGACATGCTGTAACCCCTCAACTGTGCCCTGGGAGCTTGTTATGGGCTCAGCAGAGTGACTGTCCCATCACTTCTTCCTC